CGGAACTTACCTGTCAAGGAATTTTGTTACCTTAGGACCTTTTCTAACCTTACAGCCGCCGTGTGGAAAAGAGTTTAATTTTATATAAAGAAAACCGTGCTTCGCTTCATTCCATTACACTGCCATTACGTTTTCTTCATTAAAATTAAGTCTTTTCGTTACGTTAAATTCCAGCTCTTATGATTCTGACCTATATTCGAATGTTGTTCCTGATTCGTTGTTTCCCTTCCTTGTTCCACCAGCCTTCGTTCTCTTCATGTCACGTCCAAAATGTAAGATTGAAGAAAGAGAAAAAGAACCCAAATTTAACGAAATGAAAGCATGCGTTGTTCACTCTCTTCACGCCTCTGGGCAGGCAACACAGACAGCAGAGATCTACAAATCATCTGCCAGATCAAGTCCCGAAAACCCATCCGGGACTGCCTTGCTCACGTTCGTTTTGTGATGTCTGGCTTGCTTTTGAAAGCATTGCCCGGTCTCTCGTGTCTCGGACAGAACTCACGCGGAATCTTTTCAAGGGCACTATGGAAGTGGTTCCTTCTCACCGCCAACGATAGCGCCACAAGGAAATGCTAGTCCGCAAAAGGTTGTGCTGCTGTCTGCGGCTTGCAATGGCAGGGTAATCTCACGAGCAATGAGAGGGTACATGACAGGTTTTCACGTGAAAGGTTCGTGGACGTCTGCATGTGTGAATCTGCAAGTCTGCACGATGTTCAACATATAATCTGGACGTGTGTGCACTCTGAGACGGTCGACTGATTGTTCTATATTGCGCTCTCTGGGACACATGTCCTGTAGACTTTCTACAGCAGGCCTGCAGCTTTTGGAGCATCTACCGTAGCCTTCTTATCTAAACACATCAGCAAGTGTTGGGCCTGGCACCATCATTAGGCCCAAGTCTCCAAGTAGGTGACTGGAGCGCTACCAACATGATTGTCTATCAGCTTGGTGCACACAGTATGGTGCCTCCACCGGAGGTTCCCTTGCTTGCTGGAAGCTGGCTGATCTCCTTCGGCGTGTTGCAACCCATCGCATTACCCAGTGCACGAGTGTGCTGCGTACTGTCCTGCACCAGGTCATCCACCTGACAGGCTCCAATACTCGCAGGTCAGCCACAGCCGATGATGCACACATGTCGCCTCATCTCGAGGAGAGCCGTCGTCCATCATGCCCATGCACACTGCACCAGTCCGCTTGTGTTGAATAACTTGCATCTGGTTCATGGTCAGCCATGTGCTATTTTCTTGGTGGTTTCTTGCTTGAGCACTAAGCTGGTCCGGCGGTGCACACTAACAGTCACCAACACTGCTCACGACAGAACGGATCCACCGAGAAGACTCTCACCGAACCGCTCTCGCTGGTGAAACATCTCTTGAAAACTTCCTTTGAAAAGAGCGATGCGCCGCTTCCTTGCACTTCCAAGCAGTGCAAGGCGCTACTTGAAGCCATCCTTCGGAAGCTTCTTTGGCAAAAAAAGCAAATCCAGGCAAAGAGCAGGCGCAGAGCACTTTTGAATTAATCTGCAAATACGAGAAAGCACACGGAGCACAGGTGCGCTGGTCGGCTGCACTTTTTGTCATGCAACAGTCATTTTCGCATACCATGATTCTGGGCCAGGTCCTGAAGATACGCATCGAAACCGTGAATCCTTTTCTCTGATGGCTTCGTGCCCGCGAAGCTGAGGTCTCGTCCCACAAAGTTCGATCGCCAGAGCAGACACCCGACAGCCCTGACCGAAATGAGCTTGCAGAGGTGCGGAGAACAAGTCGCAGTCTATGAGTTAGGCCAACAACTTCACGGTCATTTCGCTACTAGGGCTGACTCCTGCCGATCGATTTGCGAAAAACTTGATCTTCTCGCCAAAGTCCTTACAGTCCAGCGTGTGGTTTCGCCACACGGAAGCACTGACTGCGGTTGGGAAGCTGCTGTGCTGTCCCCAAATCGAGCGGTTGCTTCCAGGCCAGCCGACGCCAGCGTATCTCCCAGGTCTGTCCTCTGAGAGTTCATCATCTCACATTGAATATCAGCATAAGCAGCATAAGGCAAGGAGCAGGCCTGGGTAGATGTCGATGCTTCAAAGGTGACAGGGAACTGCTCTTGGCTCCCATTGTCTGCCTGGTTGCGAAGCGAAGAAGCACCCAAAACTCGAGACAGCTGTTGAAACGCTGGCCTGTCGAAGCAACGTAAGCTCTGGGATCGTCCAGAAGCATCGGGTGGCGGAGAGGGAGATGTGCAGGCCTGCCTCACGCGTTGTGCCACAAACAAGCACGCAGTATCCATCCGACTCATCCGAGCATTCAAACGAAGTCAGGGGATTGCTCGCAAACCCGTCAACGCACAAGAGCTGTCTTGTCCGGGCGACTCAATTCGTACAAAATAGCCTACGTAATCGAAGTTTTCCAGAAGGGGTCACATGAAATTCTAGAGGACAAAAGCTGTTGGGAAGCTGTTTCCGCTGGGCATGCACGTGGAGTCGCCAGGCGCCTGGCTATGCGTGGCTCTGCAGGGAGGCACATGCTCGCAGCTAGCGTCCGCAAGGCTTTGAGTTCATAGATCCGTTGTGTTGCACCCCCGTGACAGACAAGCAGCAGTGAAGTGTAAGCAATACATGGTCTTGTTTCAAATGCTGTTGCAGCCTGCCCGCGCCCGCAGGCGAGCATTGCGAGAGGGTACCGACGAGGCCTGTCTGTTGCCTGTAGGTGCTTGGATGCACCAATGCGCTGTTGCTGACATGATTCAAGAGTAAGGCATCAAAGGGGGGCCTTGGCTGTAGCGGCGAAACGGACATTGTTGAAGGCCCCAGTGTAGTTCGTTGAAGTGGCTTCATGCTTGCAACACCTTCAACAGCGACCTTCAGGCATCGATTATTTAGGTAGCGGATACGAACCCAAACCCACACTTGGGCGTCCTCTTACACCAACATTATTCACTGATCAGGTTCCCTACAAGAAGTGGCTGCTTGACTTAAGCACGGGAACCTCCGGGGAGGCATCGGCTTGTGGATTGGAGGCGGAGGCTGCACACGAACAGAGCTTGACGACGGCGGGGGAGTTCCAACTGGAGAGACGTTCCCTCAGTCGAGCAAGCCAGGTGCTGACATTCATGACGCCAACAAACTTGCTGGCTTGCTAAATTACACAAAGTTTCTGCTGACACTGGTTCGTCGGGTCAATATGAACGGAAGGTGCTGGCCTCAGCACAAGACAACAGCCATGAAGGTGAAACTGTAGCTGTTGAACCCCAGGTCTTCGTCTAATCACTGAGCCCGACATCCGAGAGGCCACCTGATTGCTCCGTGAGCGCATTGTGGATCTCTGCCCTGACATGTCGTGGCATCACAGGACAATGAGCAACAGAGCATGTGACAGCTGCCTAGCTAGCATACAACCTCAAGGATGCCTTAAACATCTGTCTGTAAACTGAGAAGTGGAGCATGACCGAGGCTCTAGATTCTAGATGTTGGAAACACGGTCACGGCGAGAAAGTTGCCGGCACTATGCTGTGGTGATCTGGGGTTGATGTTTGGCTCGGTCCTTTTTGAAGTTTGGCTTTTCCCTGGTGCTGCCGAAGCTAGGACATGGGGATTTGGAATTTCAGGCGAGGTGTTGGGAGGTGCTTTGTGTATTGGAGTTTTGAACGAGTTGATATAGTGGGCAGGTGGAGAATTGGGTTAAAGGCGTGGGTGGTGTAGGATGTAAGGTCCCGCCCTGCCCCCAATCTTCCTCGTTTTTTGCGCACTTTACACCCTCCTGCGCTTTCTCCTCTGCTTCCTCTGGCAAGATGCGCAGTGTTCGTCCCCTGTTTTCGCGGGTTTCGAATCAGCTTCCGGGGCGTGGTGGCAACTTGCTTTTGGAGCACGGTGTTTCTTTGCCGGCCCACGGCTCAGTGCAGCACAACCGCACCGCCCATGAATCTTCTCTTTGGGATCCAAGGTGCTGCAGATCAAGCAGGTCAACACATTCCGGAAGGAGTGTAAGACCAGCATCTATCTCTTTCTTCGCATCTGCCAGCTGGCCATCCTGCAAGTCGCCTACCGTCTACTGTAGCAGAAGCAGCTGCAAGCCCATCATGAGATTCTCGCAATTTCCTCTACTGTCGTCCTTCCAGAGCGCTTTCGCAAGCAAGAACCAACCCTTCTTGAAGTCCGGCTTGAGCTGTATGACTTGACGTGCATCCTCCTGTCACGGCTATTGCTTCAGCGGGCCAATGATTTGTAGCTTGGTATCTTTGCATGGGGATCGAGCACAATACCACCTTTTCAAACGACTCGCAGATGCGAAACCGCACAAAACAAGCACCACGCTAGCGACGCGTTAGCCAAAACTCCTTCTAAGGTGAAGTGGCCCTTTTTTGGGTCGTAGCGCGCGCAAAAATTCGGTGCCGGTGCCGGGGTGCGCACTTCTGCGCCCGCCCGGTGCACCCACACCCCGCAAGGAGCCGGCACCTACCGAATGGCTAGAGCGGCTAGATCAAGAAGCCTCTCAGGCGCCCTATGGTATAGGCGAAATCGATGTCGGTCGCCGCCTCGTTGAAGACCTGCATGACTTCGTCGACGGGTGCACGCATCCGTGTCTAGCCCTCGGCGCGTGCCCGAAAGTCATCGCCCCGAGACCAAGCCAAGCAGTTTCCATATTGGGCTGCTCTTGTAGAAACAAACTGTAATATAGTTGGGATACCTTGGATCAAGGTATTGATCAACAAGGGCTCAAAACGAAAGCAGAATTTGTTGACGAGGCACAGAATTAACGAATCTCATCAAGATGAACATCAGGCGAGGTTCGTTGTAAAAAGCATGCAAATCTGACCACAATTGTGGAGTGGACGGAAAGCCTCGGGAATTTCCCCAAGTAAATCGAACCATAAGCACGTTGGCTTGGGAAGCTGCTTGAAGCAATTTCCGAAAAAGTGATGCAGCATCCGATATATTCTCTGCAAGCTCACAAATAAGTGAGCCGGTCAACGCAAGGTACAACAAAAAGAACAAGGATACTACTAGATACATACGGGCGATATACACCCCGACACTGGCTCCGAGCGCAGCCGAGAGACATGGGCCCTCAGAGAGCTACAAGCCTGAAAACCTCAAGGCCTCGCAAGAAGCCCGAAGCCCGAAGCCCGAAGCCCGAAAGCCCCAGAGCATGACATGTACAGCCGAGGCGGAAAGACAAGCGTGCGAAACAGGGCAGGTGCGGCTCAGTGCCGGGAGAGGGCATGAGCAGCTGCGTGCCCCCCCTAAACCTTGCAGCTGCCAGACCTCGCCAAGTTGGAGTCGCGTGCCAGGGAGCCATGCGTCCCCTGCAGCCTATCAGCTGCCAGCGATATATTAGTTCGGCCTTTTTCAAAGGCCTTCTTTCTGTTCAGAAAACAAAGCCCGTGGGAAGATCTGCTTTGAGATCTATAGCCCAGCCCCTGCACTATTTACAAAGGACCAACGACAAAGCGTCCTACCTCTTGGTAACAGTGTTCCTCACACACAGCTTGTCACTTGGGCAGCTTGAAAGACTCCCGCATCAAAGGAAAGTTGTACAATGAATTCTAAATCCTGAACTCGAAGTGTTCGAATCTGTTTGGAATGCCTGGTTCTAGGTTTTCCAGGCCAAACGCATGATGTCTTGGGAGGCTGCTTGACGCAATCCCCGAATGGTGATGCAGCATACGATATCATAGTTCGGCCTTTTCCAAAGGCCTTTTTTGTGTTCAAAAAAACAAAACCGGTGGGAAGATCTGCTTTGGGATCTATAGCCCAGCCCCTGCACTATTTACAAAAGACAAACGACAAAGCATCCTACCTCTTGGTAACAGAGTTCCTCACACACAGCCAGCCACTTGGGCAGCTTGAAAGCAGCATACGATATCATCGTTCGGTTTTTTCCAAAGGCCTTCTTTCTTTTTGGAAAGAATAAGCCGGTGAGAAGATCTGATAGAGATCCAAAGCCCAGCCCCTGCACTATTTACAACCCTTGCACTATTTACAAAACACTGCCGTGGCGTCTTTGGATGATGACGTGGTCAGCGTGGGAGTTCGCAGGCAAAGCCGCAGTCCCCCCGACACTGCCACATCATCCCCATGCACTATTTACAAAGACAATCGACAAAGCATCCTACCTCTTCGTAACAGAGGCACCGAATTAAAGAACCCCACCAAGTCATCGTTGATTTCATCAAGATGAACGTCAGGCGAGGTTCGTTGTAAAAAAGCATGCAAACGGAGTGGACGGAAAGCGTAGGGAATTTCCCCAGGTAAATCGAACCATAAGCATGGTGGCTTGGGAAGCTGCTTGTCGCAATCTCCGAATGGTGATGCAGCATACGATATCATAGTTCGGCCTTTTCCAAAGGCCTTTTTTCTGTTCAGAAAAACAAGCCCGGTGGAAAGATCTGCTTTGAGATCTATAGCCCAGCCCCTGCATTATTTACAAAAGACAAACGACAAAGCATCCTACCTCTTGGTAACAGAGTTCCTCACACACAGCCAGCCACTTGGGCAGCTTGAAAGCAGCATACGATAGCATAGTTCGGCTTTTTTCAAAGGCCTTCTTTCTGTTCAGAAAAAAACCGGTGGGAAGATCTGCTTTGAAATGTATAGCCCAGCCCCTGCACTATTTACAAAAGACAAACGACACTACCTCTTGGTAACAGAGTTCTTCATACACAGAGCTAGCCACTTGGGCAGCTTGAAAAATTAGTATGATGAACTGCTCAGTGTGGGAGTTCGCAGGCCAGGCCGCAGCCCGCCCGACACTGCCAGCTCATCTCTGAGTGATGACGCGGTCAGTGTGGGAGTTCGCAGGCAGAACCGCAGCCCTCCCAACACTGCCATGGCATCTTTGGATGATGACGTCGTCAGTGTGGGAGTTCGCAGGCAAAGCCGCAGCCCCACCGACACTGCCACATCATCGTTTCTATCCGAAGACCAGCTTTCCTTACTGCGACTTGTTCCAGCTGTCGTCTAGTCAGACATGGCATCGCAACAGAAGAGATCGGTGGGAGGATGTTCGAGCTGTGCTAGCTTCTGCACCTGATGGGGCCCAACAGACTCAAGGCTGAACATCTGCGAGGCTCTTTTTCCGAGCAAAACGAATTGATTCCAGCCTGTCATCTACTCGTTCAGGAGCTTGATTGTGTTTTTTCCCAACACAGAAGTCGCTCGTTTGAACCGTACAGGGTTCAGCTACTGGTAGCCGAACAGGGCTCAATTAATTGGAACCGTACAGGGTTCGAACCGATCAGGGTTCAATGCAGTAGGCACTCCTACCATTGAACGAACAACCGTCTAAATACACACTCGTGCAATCCTCCCTCTGTCTGACATGGTTTCCACTTTTTACTACATTGATCTTTAGCCACAAAGGCAGCTAAATGCTGAACACTGCTCCAGGTTTATTTATGGCTTGGCTTGGCTGCCCATTGCAATTGCAGGTACGCTGGGATGATCAGTCCCAGCATCCTGAGGTCACCGTAGAGAGCTTCGTTGGGCAGAGCCCATGGACCTTCTCTGCTCCCCTGCACTATTTACAAAAGACAAACGACAAAGCATCCTATCTCTTGGTAACAGAGTTCCTCACACACACACACACGGACGGACGGGTGAAATGAATGCCTGCCAATCTGCGTGTCCACAGCAGATGTTGCATGGGCCTCATGCCATTACCTCTGCCAAGTACGTTTCTGAAGCCTGACATCGGTCGCATAATTACATGGCGCACCCTGCCTAGAGAGAAACCGAAGTCAAGTGGGTAATGAGAGAACAGAGCCAAACCGGAAACCACGGACTTCGACCCACACTCGTTTGCAGTCGCTGGAAGTGACGAGTCTCCAACGATCGAAAAGGAGACGGAAAACCCGAACCGATCCGCGACACTTAGCAAGGCAGATCTGCGGATGAGAACAACTAGTATCTTAAGTGGAAATGTCAGAACTAAAAGCTGAAAACAAATCACGACATTGCTTCGTGGTGAATCTCGCGGCTTCGAGTGATGCCAATTGAAGACACGCTAATTGCAGAGACAACTTGGCAGAGCGGCGGGGGAAAGACCCAGCGACAGATGAACCAATGATGATTATGATCGTTATCTGGGCCTTGAGTTGTCGTCCAAACATGATTTCACTGATGTGCCTTTGATGACTTGTTATCAACAAGACGATGCATGATCAAACGTTTGTTGTTCAAGAATACAGTTCAGCAACGGGCTTGGAGTAGGAAAGGCGTACTGAATGGGATTTTCTCGTTTCTTCGCAGATTACATGCTTTCACATGCAGAAAGGCAGATCTGAGCGCCTGGCCTGACATCTTGTCCACATCTTCAGGGCAGCAAAGCACAGGGCCCTGTTGTTATACAAGCGGTGGTCATGAGGAGCAGCTTCCAAACCTCCGCAGGAGATAAAGGTTGTATCGCTGCACATCGCGATTCATTTCAGGGCCCCAAGGGCCTCTCGAATAGGCGTCGATTGATAGATGATACTTCTCCAAAGCCTGCTTCGCCCAGTCCAGACCTGCACGGTTCAAGGGACCAAGGTGTCCACCGCTGCGTTTGATCTGCCGCACCTTCTCCACCAAACGTAACACCATCTCCGTGAGCATCGGCATGCTTTTGAGCGAGGAGACATGCAGCTCGATACAGCTCATTTCCGGCGCGACGGCACTCGTCCGCTAGAACAGCTGGTTCCATGATTTCCCGCCACTTGCGGTCATATTCTTCTCGAAGTGCTTCGTCTTTGAGAACCTCCCAGGCTTGGTTCCTCGATTCAGCTGCAAGAGAGGCTGCTAGATGCAACGTGATGCAACATAACACGATCGAACTCATGTTCTGCTCCTCAAGTCCAGCCAAAGTCTCAGAGCTGCTGTAATTTTTTTGCCTCGGCCCTCTTTGCTGTTGGGCCGTTTGTCCGGATGATATTCACGCAACTTCTCATGATATGCATGCTTGATGTCCTCAGCTCTGACTCATCTCTGAGCCACATGCACCACGCAGCTTTCAGGCACCATTACATAGATCTTGGAGTTGCAATGTCACTTCTGGTCGCCATACGCTTAATGACTGTGAAAAAGTATGCCAAGGCTCTCCATGCGATGACTTCGGGGAGCAGTCCAACCTCACATGACTTGCTGCGCTCCAAGGACATAGGAACGGGGTTGCAAAGCTGCCCCAAGATGACTCTAAGGCCTCAACACGGCATAGTGATCAACAAATTCGGATGGCTTGGCCATGTACGGCGTGCAACATTGTGACCCTGTCTATCAATCGAAGTGCCCGTGAGGCTTGCTGCATGCGCATTAGATACAATGCCAGGCAAACTGCGGGAAGCTGTTGCTTGCTTCTGCTCGTGCTACCGGCCTCAACATTCCCCGAAACAAACTTGGGCCGTGTTCGACACAGGACCACGACATTGCTTAGAAGGTGATGTCTCACACGCTTGTAGGGGCCATCTTGTTAGGTGGCAGTGGCAGTGGCAACTCCCCACGGGTGTCCTGCCACATCACGAACAAACACTCCGAGCTAGCATTCCCAAGAGCAGAACGTCCACATGAACTCACAGATCTGGCTTTCAACTGCGGTGACGAAAGTGTATGCTCTGTGGACAGTAGAAACGGATCGACGAAACGCAGAATTGCATCAGTGACATAGCTTCCTGTGGCCCTTGCGACCACCCGTGATCCGCTTCTGAGCACCAGGCTCAATCGTCGCTAATCACTTCTTGACCGCACATGTAGATCCGGCCCCGCAGGCAGTTTCGAGGCTCAGCTGTCAGTATCCTGCTCTGACAGCAAACATGCTCCAAGCTTTCTTGTTGAGATCTCCATCTGTTTGCTTTCAGTTCTATACATAAAGGAAAAAAAAATATATATATATAAGTATATTTATGTATTTATATACATATAGGTATGTATGTCTGTGCTTTTCTCTGCAGCGGTCCGTAATGACCGTCGTGCTTCTCTGCTCATGCAAGCCTGCACAGTTTTTGCAGCTCTCTGGGCAGAAGTCAAATCGGAGCTTGCTTCCTGCCCTCACGACAAGCCGCAGGCGCGCCCGAAGCTGCCTGACGGATCTAGGGTGGTGTTCATTATGAGACATTCATAATGGAAAGTTTCACGGTTGACCTTCGTAATTAAAGCTAGCACATGAAGCCCCTCATGTGACAAGCAGTAAGGCCGGAGCCTGAGCCAAAATCAAAGAGCCGCCTCACACAAGGTCGTCGTGCAAAAACGCCAAGCAAAATCATCGTTGGGCGACACGACGCTTCTCATTTCCTCGGTCCTGCTTGATGCCAAAGCTTTGAAGGCATCATGCGGTCGGCATTCTCCATAGGATCCTTGGCTGCGCTTGGAAATTGGTTGGTCAAGCAATGCTCGACATCCTGGCCTCCTTGGTCTGCGGGCTTCGGCCAGCCAAAGACGAGGTTGAAAACTGGCATCACGGCTCTGCAAAGCATAGATCATTGGCTCTACAATCAGGTCCACTGCATCATTGGCCAGCTCGCGCTGCAAGGCATCCTGAACACCTGCCCATATCTGCCCATCAAGCACTGCCGCATGCAGAGTTTCAGGCATGGCGGCTCAGTGCAGCACGATTGCGCCGTTGGTGGTACAGAAAGTCACTCATGGCCTGAGTCATAATTCGGCCAGCACATGCACTGTATCTCGAAACCAGCCCTACAGACGGAGCTGTCAAAGTGAAAAGGATTCTCCTAGAAGAGCTCGAGGCTCTTGCATCCCTCAAGGGGGAGCCGACGAGGAAGGCTCGCAGAAAGTCCTCGTCGTCCTTGCACGTATCGGTTGTACAGGAGTCTATGCTTGGAAAGCAATCTATCAAGTTTCCTCCCTCCTGCAAGAGCAATTCTAAACATAGCCCGACATACCTTCGGTGCGTCTCTCCAGGCTGCGCTTCCAGTCAACACCTCGTTTGGTGCAGCATGGCTCTTGACTTTCTAAAGCTGATCTTTTTTGTCGGACACAAGTTCAGGTAGTGAAATGAGCTGCTGACACTCAATCCCGAATGCTTGAAGTCCTCCTGTGCCAGGCTGAAACCACAGCCACAAAACCCTACCGATTCTCCTGCTCGTGGCATTTCGCTCGCGTGCCCTGCCTTTGGGACAGTCAGGATCTTGTGCGCAGATGTGACCTGAGAAGCGCGCTGGCGCAGACAGTCCCAGAAAGAGATGAGCCACACACGCGGCATGTCGGAGACACCGGGGCATCCCGGTGCAAAGCCTGGTTAGCCGATACGCTTCACAAAGCGCCTTCCCTTCTGCGGCCGAAGAATGCCGAAGGCCTGGTAGAGAAGGAGTGCTGCGAAGCTCTTTGCTTCCGAAGCTTCGCTGCAAAACCTCGGAAAACTATGCGACCCAAGGAGGGAAGTCTTGGGGTCCAAGCCGCGGACCAAAGACCATCCACTTCACAAACGCTCAGCTCTATCTGGCAGAGCTTCCACTCCCAACCACACCACTGTTTCAAGAATTGCAGGAGCCTTCTCTGGCGTAGTGGCGCCAGTCTGCAACTGATGGAGCAGGGCAAACCTAGGTTTGAGTCCAAGTCCAACTGAAGACCCTGTGCATTGCTCTGGCTTGAAATGCAAAGGCTTATGGATCGGCATCCCGTCTCAGCGAGCCCAAGAGCCAACAACAAAAGAAACAAGCTCAATCCCCAAACGGCCCTGACGTCAACAGACATGGTTAATGATTCCGGCGGTTCCCAATGCCCGTTCTCCCAAAATCACGTGAACCGAAGCCCGTCTTCTCGGCTTCCACATGGATGGCTTTGTCGGCCTGGCCTGGAGTTAAAAGAGTCCCAGCAGAGTCCCAGCAGAGTCCCAAGCTCCACATCTAACTCCAGCGACCACTCCATCGCAGCCAAGTTGCAAGCCCTCTCTGACTGCCTGCAAGCATCGCAGAGCATAGCTAAATGCTCAACAGAAGCGACAACAGGCATTCACGGCCTGCCAACCTGGAGTGGAGTCTAGACATGTGCCAGGCCCCCACCTCCCGAAGAGACTCGCAGCCAGCAGATTCCAGCAACGATCTGAGCTCACCACGCTACCTCAAGGCCAGCACTGGTATGCGGACGGAAGTATTTAGTGAAAGAAGAACAGGCCCCCGTGCCTGCCGTGAGCATTGCGTGGCTGCCATGAGGCATACCAAAGGCAATCGCTCAGGCATTGGCCAATTTTATGGCAGGATTCTCCACATCTCTGATGAATTCCACGGCAGCCATGGCAGCGGGCACCAGGGATCGAACCTTCGTCCAAGAGTCTCTCACAGGGCGCAGTGAAGGCAATGCAGGCGCCTCTGCGAGCACCGCCTCCAAGTTGCCAGCAACCTTGGTAGAGCGTCTGCAATATCTGCACAATGTGACATGTAAGGATAGAGATGTTGCTGATCTGCCTTCCGGCAGGTCACGAGCTCATGATGTGCGTCCTGATTCAACTGATGGCTTTTTTGCTTCAGTGCAAGTTCTCGATGCAGCGGCCTGTAGACGCTGCTGCAAACGCCTCTTCTCTTCAAGAGCTTGAGCAGAGAAAATCTCCAGCTGCTCACGCTGATCGTCGTCCACCCGCCTGCAATGCACTTTGCAGTCTTGCGCCTGCCTTGTGCCTGCCGGGGCCGCCATTCGCACGTGCCTCAAGGTGGCCTTCAACCTCGCTTTCTCCTCCAAAGGCCGAAGAGTGAAAAGATCGTGCCTTGCACACCGAAGATGCCTGGCCTGGCCAGCCCGCGCCGCCGCAAGGTCAGAGCCCGCGGCCCGCAAGCGCTCTGCCTTCGAGAGGCAACCGAGGCAGATCGCAAAACAACTTTGACAGGAGTTGCATTACGAAAAAGCGCACCCTCCTCCAAATCTTGCGCGTGCTGTCGCTGCTGGGAGCCGGATGCCTCAGTGTGATGGCAGAGGCTTTGCAGATGATTTTGTTTTGCCCACCTGCAGCTCGATGCGGAGCCGTCGAATCTCCCCTTGCTGTGCCGTCACCTTAGGAAACAGCCACACAAAAGTCAGACGAAATCAGCAGAATTAGTGCCGCCCCTGCCTCTGCGCGGCTCTTCCTTGCAAAGATAAACAAACACCACGCCTGCTACGTTCAGACCTGGAGCAGGCCGAGGCTCTGCAGCTCCGCATGGAGCCTCTGCAAGTTCACCTGCACGCGACACTTCTCTGAGTGTACTGCTGCATGCTGCTCCTTGGCCCTAGCTGGCTCTCCCTCCATGGAGAAGCATCTCTCTACCTCTATCTCCATCGCCATCTCCATCTGTATCTCTATCTGGTCCCCTGCGCAAGGATGACACGCACAAATAGAGAAGTGGACCAAGTCTATTTCTATCTCGTCTATCTCTATCTCTGTCTCCCTCTCTCTCTCTCTCTCTGCGTGTCCTTGCAGGATGTTCAGCTCCCATCGAGGTTTTCCCTTGCCGGGCTCTGCTGTACTATTCATATCTATTCATCTCTCGTGTCTTGCTCGCTCTCTCTCTCTCTC